TATACTCGAGTATATACGGGTATGTCGAACTCTGAAGCCACCCGGAGTTGGTTAGAATATGGGTGGCTATATAAATGTTATAAATACATGAATAAATTGCTTTGTTATGATTAGCTGTTTTAGGGGGAAAGCACCTTCTTGATTTTATCAATCTGCTAAAACAATGGGGTCTTTATGGGTTCGGGGGAATGCCACAACCCACCGAGCCTATGGTGCATTCCCTTCTAACAGAGAATTCTTTCAAAGCCTGAATATGGAAAGTGGCCTTCCAGCAGAAACCGCACAAATGAAATACGAAGACTTTCAAAGAAGGTATTCATGCTGGGTAGCAAAAAAGGAGGGGGAAGAGGGAGGTAGCCTTTTGGCATTCCTGTTCCTTATAAAGGCATAAGAATATTAAAATCTAACTTCACCCTGTAAGGAGTGAAGGAGCTTCCAATACTAAATGTTAGTTTTTTAAAAAGTAGATATTTTTTTTAGGAAGTTCAAATAATGATGCAATTGAGCCGGGAGTTGAAAAATGAACCAAGTGGACAATGGTCCCTATTCACATTTCATCTTGTCGTCGCCTGAGTGAATGACCTGGTGATCGCAAACCCTTGACCAAGCAAACTAAAGGGATGGAAGTCAAGATTGCCTGCTTACCGTTTTACCTGGTGATCCTGGAGGACCAGCAGGACCTGGCTCACCTCTGCTACCCTTTTAAGAAACAAAAATATATAGTGTTGAAGTAGAAACAGCTACATTTCTTGATGTGAAATTGCCTGTTTGGGAAGATTAATAGTGATATTTTACCAAAATCAAGCAGTTCAAAGTCTTCTAATAGCACAAAGAAGCATAACAGTGGAAAAGAAAGTTATTGCAAACAAAAAAACTGCCCTACAATTGATAAAATGATAAAAACAATAGAGATAGTTAATTAAATAAGAGAGATTGCTAATAAAATATGGTAATAAAATACCAGAGATAGTTTATAGTTTATAGTTTTATAGTTTTATTATTTATAGGCC